CGATGGTTTTGTTGTTGCGGTTAATCGTTAGCAGGTGGAATCGATGGTTTTGTTGTTGCGGTTAATCGTTAGCAGGTGGAATCGATGGTTTTGTTGTTGCGGTTAATCGTTAGCAGGTGGAATCGATGGTTTTGTTGTTGCGGTTAATCGTTAGCAGGTGGAATCGATGGTTTTGTTGTTGCGGTCAATCGTTAGCAGGTGGAATCGATGGTTTTGTTGTTGCGGTTAATCGTTAGCAGGTGGAATCGATGGTTTTGTTGTTGCGGTTAATCGTTAGCAGGTGGAATCGATGGTTTTGTTGTTGCGGTTAATCGTTAGCAGGTGGAATCGATGGTTTTGTTGTTGCGGTTAATCGTTAGCAGGTGGAATCGATGGTTTTGTTGTTGCGGTTAATCGTTAGCAGGTGGAATCGATGGTTTTGTTGTTGCGGTCAATCGTTAGCAGGTGGAATCGATAGTTTTGTTGTTGCGGTTAATCGTTAGCAGGTGGAATCGATGGTTTTGTTGTTGCGGTTAATCGTTAGCAGGTGGAATCGATGGTTTTGTTGCTGCGGTTAATCGTTAGCGGGCCCCCTTCCCGCCGAAAACCCAATTACCAACCAACTTCCCCCTCACCCGCACGCCACAGGCCACAGACACCCCCACCGCACGCCCATTCCTTACCCCCCCCCCCCCCCCCTACTATGGAAGACCTCCCTCCGCACATGCGTGCGGGTATGCTCCCCAGAGGAGCAAGTGTACCAAGTCGGACAAGTCATCTAGAAGGAGGAGGAGGAGGAGACGGGCAAGTGCCAGCCGGTGGACGACATGGAGGCGGACGACAGAGAGTGGGCGGCGGTGGTGGCGTCGGTGGTGGAGGAGGAGGAGGCGGGAAGAGACGGATGCTGCATGCACGAACAAATCAACTGAGGCGAAACCGTCGGGCAACCATGCGCAATTCAATTAATGACACTGTGCTCGGACTGACGCTCGGCGAGACCAATCTCGACTCGTCCAAGCTCGACTCGCTCATCGTCTCTACCTACAACAGGAGAGACTTTGCTGCAGCTCGTGCAGCTCATGATCGTGGTGAAGACCCTGCTGCTGCTTATGATGCGCTACATGCTGATGATGATGGCTACGCTGCCGGTGACGGTGGTGCCGCAGACATGCACGCAGCTGCTCGTGCTGCCCAGGAGGCTCATGCTGGTGGTGCCCGGACAGGCAACGAGGGTATCGAGCTCGAACCCGTCGGGCCGGCTGGCGGTGGCTCGTTATTGGCACGGAGAGCGATCAGCGGTGGGAGCGGAGGCGGGAGCGGGCGGGCTGCGAACCCCAACGCGCCGAAGCGGTCGTCGCCGCTGGCGCGCTCTGCACAGGCGGCGGCAGCGTCGGGCGGTGACGACGGAAGCCGAGGCGGGCGGCGGAGCATTGCGGCGCGCAAGGCCGAGCGGAGTGCCGACGACGAGGCGATGGCGCGGCGGATGCGGTCGCTCTCGTTCCACGCGCGGCAGGACGGGTGGAAGGCCGGCATGCAGCGGTACACGGCACCGCCGTCGCGGCTCCGGATGCAGCCCGGGCTGGAGGATGCGCTGGCGCGGGCGGCATCGGCAGTCCGCGACGCTCGCAATGGACGGGCGACCAAGCAGCCCGAGGAGGCGTGGAAATTTGCGGCGTACGAGTTCCACTACTCGTGGTTCTTCATGCGGCTGCTCTTCCTCGCCTCGATGGTCCAGCACGCCGCCATTGTCTTTGAGCGGGCGTCGTACCGCAACGCGTCGATCCTCCTTGAGCCGCGGTACTACGGCCTGCTCTTCACCGAGTTTGCCGTCCTTCTTGTCTTTTCTCTCGACGTCGGTCTCTCCATCATCCACCACGGGGCGAGCGGGTTCTGGCGCAAGCCGTGGCGCGCGGTCGCCGGCCTCTGCCTGGTCGTTTTCTGGGGCGACCTCATTGCCTTTGCTGCCGGCTCACCGCTGCGGCTCTCGCGGGCCATCCGACCGCTCTTCCTCATTGCGCGGTGGCGGCGGGTCCGGACGACGCTCCGGGCCATCATCCGCACCTTTTGGCCACTGGTCCCTGTTTTGGGCAAGATCGGCGTGGCGTGCTTCTCGTACGGCCTGGTCGGCGTGGCCCTCTTCCGCGGGCAGTTCCAGACGGGCGCAGCGTACGAGAACTTTGACAACATCGGCTCGGCCGTCCTCGTTCTCTTTGTGGTCCTCTCCGGCCAGGGCTTGCCCGGGTACTGGTACACGGGCTCGGATGTGAGCTCGGCCTCGCCGCTCTTCTTCGTCTCGTTCCTCCTCCTCATGGGCTACCTGGTGACGACGGAGATTGTGGCGGTGCTGATGCGGTTCTACAAGGCGCATCGGCGGTCGTCAGTTGTCTACGACCGGTGGAAGGAGCGGTCGTCGCTGGCGAGCGCTTTTCTGGTCCTCGCCCGGCCGTCGGCGTCGCAGACCATCGGCCCGGACGCGCTGCCGGAGGAGGTCATGCCGTGGTCGTCGATGCTCGCACTGGGCAACATCATTGCGCCTGCGCTGCCATCGTCGACTCTTCGCTCGCTCTTCAAGTCGCTGACGACTGAGGAGGAGCCCGAGGCCATCGACATGTCGGGCTTCTTTGTCATCATGGACGTGCTGTACCTGCGATTCTCACCGCCGTCGCGCTTTGACGATGTCGTCAATGTCATGCCGCACGTCGTTGCCCTCCGCGCCGTCGTCATCTCGTCGTGGTACGTCTGGCTCAACCGGGCTCTCCTTTTTGCCTTTTGCGGCCTCGCCGCGTCGGTCACCGGCGCCTCGTTGCCGACCTCGGGCGATGTGTCGACTATCATCGCCGGCGCCTTCCTTGGCGCCTTTGTCATCGACCTCGTCATCCGCGCCCTCGCCGCCGGCCCAGCCTTTTACGTGGACGTGTGGTCGCTCTTTGACACGGGCGTCATGCTCGTGGCTTGCACCGCCTACGGCTTTCACCTCGGCGCCGACTACGCGCCGCAGTCGGGCGGCAACGCGGTGGCGTGGGCCGGAGTCACGCTTGTCTCGCTCCGGCTGCTGACCCAGTCGTCGTCAGTGCGGTCGCACGTGGAGATGCTGCTGGCGGTCATGCCCTCGCTCGGCCCCTCGCTTGCATGCATCGCCGCTCTTCTCTACTTTTTTGCCGTCCTCGGCATGGAGCTCTTTGCCCGCCAGCTCGGCGGCCGCGCCACCTTTGACTCGTTTGGCGTTGCCCTGCGGACGCTCTTCCAACTCGGCACCGGCTCCAACTGGCAGCAGGTCATGTACGCCACCATGGACGCGACGCACCCGGCGGCCGCCATCTACTTTGTAGCCGTCCTCTCGCTCCTCCTCCTCTTCTTCACCCGCCTTGTCTCCGCCCTTGTCCTGCAGATCTTTACCCTCGTTGCCGACATCCGTCAGGCCGAGGCGGCCCAGGCTGAGGAGAGCAAGGCCGGCCGGAGCGGGAGCGGGGCCGGCGGCGGCGGCGGCGATGACGGCATGCCTACCACCCCGCGCTCGGCCGCAGGCACCATGGACTCGGACACCTCGGTCGACTCGTCGTCTCTCCCCTACGCCCGCCACCATCTCTCAGCCTCGTCGTCCAAGCGCCGCATGTCCGTCGCCCTCGTCGACGTGTCCGAGGGCGAGGCCCGCGCCGTCGACGAGGAAGTTCTCGCCAAGCGCCGGCCGTCAACGCCCAATGGGCCTGCTGGCCGCAAGAACTCGGCTTCGAGCACTAAGTCGCTCCGCAAGAACTCGGGCCCTCGCCGCCGCCGGCCCGCTGTCCTCATCACCCTTGACGATACCGATACCGAGAGCTCGGTAGCATCGCTGGGTGGAACCGGGACCGGTGCCGTCGCCACCACCGGCAGCGGTAGCGGCAGCGACAGCGGCAGCGGCAGCGACGCCGACCAAGGGAACGATGACGATGACGATGACGATGATTCGGCAGCGGTTGTTGCCCACGTCGCTGCCCCGTCGTCTGACTCGGGCGCCGTGTCGGGCTCGGGCGGATCGAACGTGTAGACGGCAACAAGCCGAGCGCAATGAAATGAACATATGTGTGGGCAAGGATGGCGTTTGTTGGGAGGGGCGAGGCGGAGGTGGTGGGTGGGTAGAGGGAGATTGTGTGGTGAGTAGGGACGGGGGGGGGATGCGTTTAGGCATCGGGCGGCGGCGGATGCGAGGGCGGCGGCGGGAGGACCTCGTTGGTGGCCTCGGGCGGGGGCGGGTGAGAGGGCGGCGGCGGGAGGGCCGGGGTGGGGAGGAGCGGCGGCGGGGCCGAGGAGGGCGGCGGTGGCAGCGCAGCGTTGTCTTGAGAGGCCTCCTGTGCGGGTGCGTTGGGGTCCGGAATGGCGAGGATGTGGCGGAGGAGGGCGAGGACGGCCTTTTGCTCGGCAGCCTGGGCGTTCATGATGGCCATGGGGTCGTCCGAGGGCGTCCGGAGGAAGGAGGGCGTGAAGACCATGGCCATGTTCTCGTCGGACATCTTGGTGATTTCGACAATGGCCGGATCGGTGCAGAGCTCGCCCAAGAAGGAGACGAGGCGGAGGGCAACGTCGCGGTTGACCTGCGGGAGGCGGTCAAAGACGGCGGCGACGGCGGCACCGTCGTTGGCCACAAAGTCGTCATAGAGGTTGGGCGGAATGAGCGGGGTGGGAAGCTCGCGGAACCAGAGCTTGAGGAGGCCTGCGGCGACGTGGACATCGGTGGTGGCCAGGGTGTCGGCGCCCGAGTCGAGCTCGGCCTTGAGGTGGATGATGGCAGTGGCGTCGCCTGGAACACGGAAGACGCCTTCGGCGGCTTCGGGCTTGGCAGCACGGAGCGTCTCGATGAGGATGTCGAGGACGGCCGGGATGGCGGCGTCAGGCGCGTCGGGCGCCTGGCGGGCCATGAGGTCTTCAAGCTCGACACCAAAGACGGCGACGGCCTCGGGATCGAGCTGCGAGCGGATCTTAGCGAGCTTGGCGGCCTGCTTCTCGGAGAGCTCGCCCTGGCGGTACTCGACGGGGACAGCGGGCAGCGGGCGCGGCTCGCCCGAGGCGTGCTCGGTGGCAAAAGCTCCAGGTTCTCGGTCGGATGGTGCGAGGAGATGGCATCCTGGGCGGCCTCGGCGGCAGCGGCGACCTTGTCGAGGGAGAGAGCGCGGAGCTCGAGGTAAAGGTTGAGCTGCTGGATGGTCCGCTCGTCGCGGCGAAGCTCGAGAGACTCGTACGACGAGAGGAGGGCAAACTGCTTGCGTTGAATTGCATTGGCCTCGTCGATGGCGGCGACGTACTTTTCCTGGGCCTCGGCCACAGCCTTGGCCTTCTTACCCACGTCCTTCTCGAGCTTGGCAATCTTGGACGCCTTGGCCTTGTTGGTGACGGCGACGCGGAGCTCGGACGAGGCAATCTCCTCGGCCTGCGCCGCAGAGATGTACTTGGACTCGAGCTTGGACGCGTTGTCTGCAGCCGAAGCGGCGTCCTTGACAAGCGAGCGGTGGACCTTGCCCAGGAGCTTGAGGTTGGTGTCCATGGTCGAGGCAAATTCGGAGAGCTGTGCATGTAGCTGGTCGACCATCTCGGTGGCCAGCTCGGCGTGCTGGGTCGCTTCGACGTCAAGCAGCGGCACGAGGCGGTTCCAGCCGGGCACGTTCACAAACGAGGCCTTGTCCTTGGTCGACTTGGAGAGCTTGGCGAGGGCGGCGGCGTAGTCGGCCTCGATGGCAGCGCGCGCCCGCCAGTAGGCCGCTACCTCGTTGGTCGCCTCAAGCATGGCTGCGCAGTTGTCGTGAACCTTCTCCGGCACGTCCCACAGCTGGGTGGCATACACCGTGTCACCGCCAACAGCCGTCGCTACCGTTGCTGTCAGCTCTGCGAGCATGCCAGACTCCTTGCGCAGCTCGTATCGCGCTGCAGCCCGCTTGGCTGCAATCGTATCGGGAATGTGCGCCGACGAGCCGGCGGTGAGGGAGGCCTGTGCGTCATTAGATGGATGGATAGGTGAGTCGTCGCTGCAGCGGAGGGGGAAGGGGGGGGAGGAGGGGGGTTGATCGATGGCGTTGATGGGAGATGCCGAGGTAACCGATCATGTTGTTGGGTGCAGTACCCGATCATGTTGTTGGGTGCAGTACCCGATCATGTTGTTGGGTGCAGTATCCGATCATGTTGTTGGGTGCAGTATCCGATCATGTTGTTGGGTGCAGTACCCGATCATGTTGTTGGGTGCAGTACCCGATCATGTTGTTGGGTGCAGTACCCGATCATGTTGTTGGGTGCAGTACCCGATCATGTTGTTGGGTGCAGTACCCGATCATGTTGTTGGGTGCAGTACCCGATCATGTTGTTGGGTGCAGTACCCGATCATGTTGTTGGGTGCAGTAATCGATCATGTTGTTGAGAAAATAATCGTTGGGACACGTATCGATCATGTTATCGAGAGAATGATCAAAGACGTCGCCAATCGTTCGTTCGTTCGTTCGTTCGTTCGTTCGTTCGTTCGTTCGTTCGTTCGTCCATGATCACCAGCTTCCGCCCATCGCCGCCTCCTCGCCCCCTCCCCCTCCCAAGGCCACGTTCCCAGACCTCAACCACAGGCATGGAAGCAGCTATGAACGTACCATCTTCCCAATGTAGTCAACTACAAGTACAGTATGCGGTACTCGGGTTGGTGTCCCGTGGTGGGGATGGAGTGGGGTGTCCCACCTCTCCAAAGTCCTCCCCCCGCCTCCTCCCCCCGTCGGCCACCGCTTCTCCAGTCCACGAGGTCGCCATCTCGGCTGTTTCGGACATATATTTTTTTCGCTTTTTCCAAGCCCCGCCCACATCCGTGCATCCTGCCCTATGCCACGCACGGACGCGTCACGGCAACTGTGCTCCCGATCAGAGTACGCATAAACTTCTTATAGAGTAGAAAGTAGTATACGGTGGCGTGTCTGGGACGAGATGTGACCATGACTGCAGGGAGGGTGTAGGGGACAAGGGAGGGCGGCTAGGCAAGTTCTTGAGAATTTTTAGATCCCTTCCACGCACGTGCTGCTGCTGAACGTCAGCACGTGCGGCATGTAGTGAAGGAGGTGTACGGGGGCACACCGAGCAAGTACTTGGGGCGAGAGCGAGCATGCTGTTGGGCGGAGACCATGCTGGCAGGCGTCGGTCGGGCGGCAGGTGCTGGAGACTTGCACTGGTGAGCTACGCGAGCTAGTGCGCTCATTATAGCCAAAGAAGGGTGTCCGCATCCGATCCAGACGCTCCTTTACAACCATCCCAAACGTGTCTGCAGGCGCAGACAACCACGCATGTTGCAGATCGGGCGCTGACTGCGTCATGATCGGGATGTGAGTGATGCGGCCACAGCTCTCGCTTGATCATAAAATTAACGAGTCGATTCATCCCGCTCCGGACTGTCTGGTCTGCTCGAGCCTCCGAGCGGCCACAGCATCGACGATCGCGACGCTGACAGTATCCCTTAACAATCAAGCCGAAGCACCCAACCAAGTCGAGCCGCGTTGCCCCCCCCATCACATGCACATGCACTCAACCTAGTAGCCAACCCAATCTGTACCAACAATTTTTTGCTATACCACCCCCCACCCCCCACCTCCCCTCGGAACCGCATCCGAACGCATTCGACCCGATCCCATCCCGCGACCTGCCAAGCTGGCGAGTCGGACGACGAGGTGAAGGACAAGACGAAGAAGCGTAATACTCCTCTCGCTCGCCCTTCCCCTTCCGCCAAGCATGGCACGTCGGGCCAAGAAGAAGATAGCCAAGACAGGCACAGGTTTCATTGGATTTGGTGGCGGACGGAGCAGCGGAGCGAGTCTGGCACGAGTCGGCCGAGTCGGCGGAGGAGGAGGAGTTAGCGGTGTTGGTGGAGGAGGCGGAGGAGGCGGAGGAGGAGGAGAACGTGGTGGAGGCGGTGGTATGGCTGGCTCTTCCCAAAGTGGCGGTTCGGGCAATGGCAATGGCGGAAATAATTCGGGTGCAAGCATTCCTCGTGTAGGCTCATTGCTCCATTCGGTCGCTGTGCAGGGTCTCTCTCCCGAGGACAAGGTCGTCTTCTCAAAGGTGGCCAAGAAGGACAAGGGTACCATGGTCAAGGGCCTCCGTGCCATCGGCCCGCTCTTCTACACCGCTGCCGATCATGTGGCGGCCAGCAAGTCCACCACGTCGAGCAAGACGACGACCAAGGTGACGGCCTCTTCAGGCGTGAGGATCCACAAGGACAAGGCATCGGCCAAGGCAAGGATGGAAGCGCTGCTGGCGGCGTGGACCGACGTCTATCTCAAGCTGTACATCGATGACTCGCGGGCTGTCCGCCTGCAGCTCAATCAGACGCTAGTTGACGTTGTCGACGCTGCTGGGCCGAGCCTGGCCAAGGTCATCCGCCCGCTGATGGGCCCGTGGCTGTGCGCGCTCGGCGATGCTTCGCACGAGGTGGCGAGCGCGGCCAAGGTCGCCTTTGATGCCGCCTTTGCGCCCGCAAAGCGCGCCCCGGCCATGAAGTTCACCGCCAAGGCCCTCTTGGCCTTCCTCGGGTACAACCTGACTCTGGATCTGGACTCGCTGTTGGCGCTGGTGCCGACGTCGCGCCAGGCCGGCGCCGAGCGGCTGCAGGCGCTGCAGGCGGCGTCGCTGTCGGCGCTGGCGGTCTTCGTCGACCTGGCCGACGCCGAGACGCTGGCCAAGGTCGACCTCCCGTCGTACCTTGCCGCCAACCGCGTCCCGGAGCTCTTTGCCGCTGTCCCAGACGCCGGCCTGCCGGCGGTTTACAAGCTGATGCGGGCGCTGGCGACGTCGCTCCCAGACACACTGGCCTCGTTTGTCCTTCCGCACGCGGCACTCTTCGCTGATGCCTTTCGCCCGCCGCTTGTGGTCCGCAAGCTCCCGCCGATGTGGGATGCGCTGCTGGCGGCGCTGTCAACGGACGCTGGTGCCACCGCCACCGCGCTTGACATCGACGCCTTTATCACAACGCATGTGGTGCCGTACCTGGCGAGCGGCGGGTCGGGAGCGCTAGGCGCAACCATCCCGGTCCTGCTCCCGTTTGCAGCGGTGGTCTCGCCGCTAGGCGGCGACTTGGTTTCGACGGCGCTGCTTCCGGCGATCCTGGCAGGTGCCGCCGCCGCACCCGGCCACGGCCGCGACGCGCCGGTCCCGCTCGAGGTGGCTTACCTCGAGGTGGCGGCGCTGCTGCTCTCGCGATCGCTGGTGAGTGTGGGCGAGGTGCTGGGCCCCTGGCTTGACCTGGCCTTCCCGGCCGAGGCCAAAGCAGAGACTGCGGCTGCACTTCCAGAGTCGGTCGTCTCGGCGCTGCTGCGGCTGCTGCGAATGATTGAGCGTGACCCAGACCTGATGCTGGGCTGGCAAGAGGTGGTGGACGCGAGCTGGCGACCGCGGCTGGGCGATGCGTCAGTCCGGGCTGCGTCTGTGGTCGTGGTCACGGGAGGCGCCGAGGCCGGCGCGGCCAACGCGGCAGGCATCTTTGCCCGCTCGCTCCTTGCAGCGCTCGCCGCGGACACCGGCGCAGACCCGATGGCGTCGACAGCGCTGCTGGCGCGGGTTCTGTCCTCGGGCCTGGTCACGCTCGACGAGCTCGATCCGTCGCTCCGCGACGGTACCTGGCTTTGGGAGCCGTTTGCTGCCGAGGTGTCGGCAGCAGGCGCAAAAGCCGCTCTGGCTACCTTTCTGCCGGCCTTTAAGCTGTACATTGCCGCCGATCCCGAGGCAACGCTCACCGCGCTGCTGGATGCCACCGCCGGCTCGATGGCGGCATGGGCGGCGGTGGTGTCTGCGGCACCGAGCGGCGCGCTGCCTGTGGGCGTCGTGGACCGGGTCAGCGGCGTGGTTGACGACATGCTCGCAGCTGCAGCCGAGGGGACGGGCGAGCCCCCGGTGGCGAGTGCGGTCCGCACGCTGGCGACGAGCATCGCGCCTGCTGTCACCGCCGCGGTGCGCGCGGGCTGGGTGGCGCGGGTGGTGACAGTGGCGCGTGCAGCCGAGGCGGCGCTCCTCAGCTCGGCGCCGGCGGGCGAAGCGTGCTCAATGCTCGAGGCGAGCCTGTCGGTGTTTGCCAGCGTGCCTGCAGCCGAGGTTGCTGCCGAGCTCGACGCGGACGGGCGCCAGGCGCTCGGCTCGTCGCTGTTCTGGTTCCGGGCAGTTCACGACCATCCCGTGGCTAACGCGGTGGCGCAGGCGTGGGAGGTGCTGTTTGGCGGCGCCGGGCTCTGTGACGAGTTTATGGCGAGCCTGGTGCTGGCTGTGTGGGAGGCGTACTCGGCGCGGGCGGCGAGCGCGGTGGCAGCGCGGATGCTGCCGCACGATGTGGCTGCGAGCGAGTGGCTGACGCCGTTCCGGGCAGCGGATCTGGTGTTCCAGCTGGTGGCGCTGCTGCGGTGCAAGGCGACGCTCGACGTGCTCACGCAGACTGGCCGGCAGAGATGGGCCTCGAGGCGCTGGTGGCGTATTCGGCCGTCGGGGCGTCGGGCGCGCTGTGGGCACCCGACGCGGTGCCTGGCTTGGGCAAACCCGGGAGCGTGGCGTACGAAGAGGCCGCCGCAGCGTATGTGGCGCTCTCGTGGCGGCTGGTCCTGGTCTCGGAGCTCACGCGGATGCTCTCGTTTGAGATGGTGTTCTCCGAAGCGACCGACAAGATCGAGCTTGGCGGGCGGTATGTGACGTTCCTCACGCTCTCGCGGCTACACACGGCGGCAGCGGCCTGGTTTGAGGAGCGAGGCGAGGCGGTGATCGAGTACACGCCGGCGCCGACCGAGGCAATGGCGCTGACCGGACCGGGATCCAAGGGCCGGCGACCGGACCTTGTGCTCGAGTCGTGCTCGGAGACGGCGTCTGCGGCCGGCGAGTCCGAGGCGGTGACCGAGGCCGCAGCAGTGGCAGTGGCGCGGCTGGTGGGCGAGCGGGGGCTGGGCGCTCTGGCGGCGGACGACGCGGCAGGCGTGGTGGCGGCTCTGCTAGAGGCGGCGCGGAGCGACGCGGTGCCACTGCGCGCAGCGCTGGCGGCGGTGCTCGTGCAGGACCACCTCGGGCGGGCGCTGGCGTCAGGCGAGTCTGTGGCGGCAGCCAAGAAGATGCTGACGACATGCGGCGTGGCCTGGGTCGAGCTCAAGGGCTCAGTGGACGGCGCGCTGGCGAGTGCGGGCGCCACGCGGGTCCTTACTGCTGTCATCGGCTTTGTGGCCGAGACGGTGGGCTCCACTCGTGAGGCCGAGGCGTTCCGGGCAGCGGTGGCGGAGCCGCTCTTTGCAGCGGTGGCTGGCGGAGGACATTGCGCTGCGAGTCACGTCCTCGCGCACGGGCTCCTCACCGCGGACCTTCCGCCGGTGGTGGGCAGCGGACTGGCGGACCTCTGCCTCGCGCATGTGGACAATGTACAGGCACCGGCGCTGCTGGCGGGCCTCCTCGGGTGCCTCGGCGAGTTCAAGCTCCTCGGCAGCAGCCACGAGCGGATCCAGAGCGTGCTGGCAAGCGCCGAGGTGGAGGCTTCGGCGACGTGGAAGGCGGTGGCGCGGTACACCTCGTATGCGCGGCGCGTGGGCGAGACGGGCGAGGCCGGATACCAGGCGTGGGCGCAGGGCATGCTTGGCGCCGGGCTGCGACTGCTGCGCAAGGTGCGTAAGGTGGCGCTGGCCGACGACGCGCTGCAGTACGTCCCGCTGCTGCCCGCGGTCAATGCTGGGCTTGCCGGCGTGCTCGGCGAGCGCGGGCCGGGCTCACTGGTGGCGGCGATGGGTTGGGAGGCAGCGGCAGTGTTTGCGCGCAAGGCAGACGTTATCTTTGGCCTCCGGCGCGGCGAGGACCGCGAAGGAACGAGCTTGGCGGCGTTTGAGGCGCTCAAGGCGGTATACTCAGTGGCGTCGCGGCTGGTGGTGGACATGACGGCGCTAGGCAAGGCGGCCGAGGCAGCGTGGGTCGACGCGCCGGACCACGAGGTCTCGTCAGCGCTGGCATCGGGCAAGCTTGTGGTGGAGATCGGGCGCGGCGTGATGTCGCGGCTGGTGACGGCCCGCGAGGTTTGGGGCTCTGGCCAGCGGGCGGCGCTGCTCGGACAGCTGCTGGCGTGGCAGCTGGTGCTCGACCACGCCAATGCGGCCGACTCGTCGGAGCGGCAGCGGCGGCACGTTACCGATGTCCTCGGCGCGTTTTCGGGCTCTGTCCGGCTCTCGCTCTCCCTCGCATTTGCGGCGCTGAGCACCTCGTCGGCGGCGCGGTCGTCGGAGGCTGTGGCGGCGGCCCGCGTGGTGAGCGCGGGCGAGGTGGCGTACACATCAAGCGCGGTGCTCGAGTACGCGGCCGGGCGGTTTGTGGAGACGCTTGTCCTTGTGCCGCGGATTGTGCGCGACTGGTGGACCGGGTGCTCGCGCGAGGATCAGGGTGCGATCCTCGCCTTTGTGGCGCGGCGCATCTCGCCGGTCCTCATCGGGGCAGCTATGGACGAGGTGGTCGCCTCGCGCGAGGTGCAGGAGGCCGACGCGCTCAAGGTAACGGTGGCACGGAGCAAGGGCGTGGTCAACGCGCGGTATGAAATTGACGAGATGGAAGTCGGGCTCACGCTCAGCCTGCCCGAGGCGTACCCGCTCCAGCCTGTGGTCATCGAGGCCGCCGGAGCGCACAAGGGCATTGCCAAGTCGCAGTGGCGGCGGTGGATGCTCTCGCTCCGGGCCATGCTCGACACCCAGCTGGCGTCGTTGACACAGGTTGTCCTCCACTGGAAGTCCTCGCTCGCGCGGCGGTTCGAGGGCGTCGACGAGTGCCCCATCTGCTACTACGTCCTGCACTTTGGCAACCACTCGCTGCCCTCGATGCCTTGCTCGGTGTGCAAGCAGAAGTTCCATGCCGCCTGCCTCTACACCTGGTTTGCCGAGGGCGGCAACTCGTCTTGCCCTATGTGTCGTTCGCCGTTTTGAGCAACGCAGCTACAGCCAGGCCATCGCATGGCCAGTGATGGCTGGCCACCGAACGAGTGTGGACGTGATCGTCATGGCGACTGTCCAAGACGTAGCCAGGATAGTCATGATCATCAGGATTGCCAGAGAGAGAGAGCGAGAGAGAGGCATGAGTATCACGACATCTTCTGCAAATAGCCATAATCACTGCCATGACTACCATCATCATCATCACCACTACCCCCCCCCCCCCCTCCCAACCGAAGCAAAACGTTGCGTTGGCCAGCAGACAACAGGCGGCCGAACAGTCGTTTTTTGTATATTTGTGTTCACCTATATCTATATATATATATGTATCTATCTCTATATATATATATATATATATATATATATATATGTATATATATATATATATATATATATATATCTATATATATATCTATATAATATATATCTATATATATATATCTATATATATATCTGTATATGTCTGTCCTGTCTATATATCTGTTCGGTATCTCTATATAGACACCTCAACAGCATCTCTGTCTATATATATATATTTGTTTTTTTTTTTATTTTTTTTTTTACTTATGTATGTGTCTGTATATGTTACATCCAC